TGCTCTCACAAGTCTACTAGTCCTATATACAGTGACTTTACCTCATCGCTTGCTGTCCCGTCTCCGTTCCGATCTCTCGTCTTGATCGCAATAGGCCGATGGCGATGCTGAGGGCGGCGAAACACGCGATGAGATCCCTGGGTTCTACGGCTCCCGATGCGGCTCCTTTCTCAAGGATGCTTCATGTAACCTATAAATTACCTTTTTGTGATCCTTACTGGGTTTTCCCTCTTCTGATGGAGCAGCAATTTGCCTGGGTTCCGATTACTGTTTTCGAATAATATTGGTCTTGGCGGTGATCTGGAAAGTCACAATTGTTTTGGTGCCTTTAAATGCCTGATTTTGAGTGACTGCGTTCTGAAATTTTCTCGCCTTCAGAATAAGTTAGGTGGTAATTTTGAGTTTGATTAACATGTAGTCAGTTTAATTAGCGTCGGAAATGATTATAAGCGGCCGTTGGGTTTCTATCTTTTGATAACTTTGGTGATTGGCGATCTAATTTGGTTAATCAAACCCAAGAAGTAGTAAAAGGCTGAATCTTTGGTGTGTAGGTCTTTGGTAATTTTGGTTTTCTCAGGATGCACACTTGGTGTATTGACTTCTTGCTTGATCTACGATTAAAGAAGAAAAAAAAAAGAATTTAGAAATTGAGAATTGTAGTCTTGTTTGTTTGTTTTGAGCATTCTTTATCTAATTTTCTTCCTGTATTGTCTTGAATGAAAAAGAGAAAAAAAAAAAAGTTAAAAGAAAGTTGTGACAAGAATTTAGGATCGTGATCATCATGCAGGCTTCTCCCGGAAGCAAGAAGATCGTCGGAGTATTCTACAAAGCCAATGAGTATGCTTCGTTGAACCCCAAGTTCGTAGGGTGCGTCGAGGGATCCTTGGGCATTCGGGACTGGCTGGAATCTCAAGGCCACCAATACATTGTCACTGATGATAAAGAAGGCCCAAATTGTGGTTGGTACCATTCAGGATTCGATGTTACTTCAAATATGCTCGAATAATTTATGTCAACGGATGAATTTTTGCCAACATGCTTTGACAAAGATGGAGAGTGTTAATGCATATTAGCATTTAGCAGTATTTCTTCATATAGTTTACCTCTTTTCAGATTGCATAGAGTGATTCCCGCTGGAATTTTGTAGTGATTGTTCTCTCGATTTTCTTTTATGCGTTTGTTCCTTTACTAATTGTTCTCTCTTCTCGTGCCAGAGCTCGAGAAGCATATTCATGATATGCATGTTCTGATAACAACCCCATTTCATCCGGCTTATGTTACCGCGGAGAGGATAAAGAGGGCTAAAAACTTGCAACTTCTTCTCACTGCTGGAATTGGCTCAGACCACATTGATCTGAAAGCTGCAGCGGAGGCTGGATTGACTGTAGCAGAGGTCACCGGAAGCAATGTGGTCTCTGTTGCAGAAGATGAGCTCATGCGAATTCTCATTCTTGTCCGAAACTTCGTTCCCGGTTATCTTCAGGTGATTAAAGGTGATTGGAATGTAGCAGGAATCGCATACAGAGCGTATGATCTGGAGGGCAAGACTGTTGGAACTGTTGGTGCTGGCCGAATTGGAAAGCTTTTGCTCCAGCGTTTGAAGCCCTTCAACTGCAATCTGCTCTATTATGACCGGATCAAGATGGAACCTGCACTGGAGAAAGAGATAGGGGCAAAGTTTGAGGAAGATCTTGACACAATGCTTCCTAAATGCGACATTATTGTTATAAACACACCTCTTACAGAGAAAACCAGGTTTCTTTCTTTGATTATTTAATGATTGAAAGTGGAATATTTTATTTTATGATTATGAAGTTGTTTGAAGTTTTCTATAAACTGGAGAATTTAATTATTTGAGATGGTTAGTTGGATCATTGTGCATGTAGTCATGTCTTTTGTTTATTTGATCGTAATCTGGTGCTAAGTGTTGCACTGTTTGCTTCAGAGGAATGTTTAACAAGGAGAGGATTGGAAAGCTGAAGAAGGGAGTTCTTATCGTGAATAACGCTCGAGGCGCTATCATGGACACTCAAGCAGTTGCTGATGCTTGCTCCAGTGGGCACATTGCAGGTGCATTACTTATCAGATCTATGTTTTAAATGCTTGATAACATTGTTTCTCGTAATGTTAGAGATGATCTTAAGGTAAAGTGATTATTCACTTGATTTGGTCATATAGACCTCCGCGTTCACCATCTCTGCCATGGTACAGAATGCTTGTAAGCACATTACCTTTGTCATTGTACACGTAGAATATATGTAAAATTAGAATCAAAGAATCGAATAATGATTCTTAGTAAAGATGATAAATAAAATGTCTTTAACAGAGATCCATGGAAGAGAGGAGCAGCCAACTAACTTAGTTAGGCTGGAATATTGGTGAGACATGCAATTATAAGAAACCTGCGTTGTAAACTGATTGTATTGATCAGTCATTTAGTAGCATGGAATGTTCAAGAAGATTTGCTGGACAAATTGAAACATAAAATGTAAAAGAACATATTGGATTAGCTTGTAAACTGAATAATCTGAAGTATGGCTTAGTCAATAGCTCTGTGATCGTAAATAATGACTCTAATTTATTGGCTATGTGAAGAATGTCTAACTTGTTGAACAAGCTAAGAATATGTTGGTGCGTAGGATTTGCTGAAGAAAAATAGGAATTCTAACTGTAGCACCAGTTTGCGCAAACTCATATTTGAACAAAGAGAATATCGTCCCAAGGAAAATATTCAAGGTCCGGAAAAAAAAAAAGAGTCCATGACAAGCACTTAATTCTATAGTAGGAACGAAAATTATGAGAAATTGGACACAAAGAGGCTTTCATGCAATTCTCGTCCTATTTCCTTTTTCTTTGTTCGAGTGAATTCTTGAGCAGCTATCAGGAGAAGGGTACGAAACATTGCATCACAGATTTAAGGAATTCCACTATAAGATATACAATGGACATCCTTATGATCCTACCTAGAAAACACCAACAACTTCAGCACGATAGTTAACTTATTAAATGCCCTGTAGTTTTATTGTGGCCATGCATTTTAACTGAAAGAAGTTAATATTGTACTCCAGCCTGACATTATTAATGGGAAATAGAAGCACTATCTGAAAATCCTAACTTGATTGTGTGCTCCTATTTAATACTGTATGAGAGAACGATTAGCTTGCCAGATCATGATGAATTCTGATGGACCATTCATTGGTGGGATTCCACTTCCCTAACTAAACTGGCTCAAATTCCAACTGTAATAAGCATGCGCATATAGTATAATTACCGTTTCAGCAACTATCCAAAAACTCTATTCCATATGTTTCTTATTTTTTTCTCCTAGTCAGTAGTTCAAGTCACTATTTATCATAATTAGAATTGAAATCCTCTGATCATTCAGGTTACAGCGGCGATGTCTGGAATCCACAGCCAGCTCCCAAAGATCATCCATGGCGGTACATGCCAAACCAGGCAATGACACCCCACATTTCTGGAACTACCATTGACGGCCAAGTATGCCTTCTTTCTTGCTTGGTTTCCTTCATCCCTTCTAAATCTTTGCCAGATGTCAAATAGTTATATTTGGAATTATATCACAACCATGCAGCTGAGGTATGCAGCCGGAGTGAAGGACATGCTGGATTGTTACTTCAAAGGACAGGAATTCCCAGCCCAAAACTACATTGTGAAGGAGGGAAAGCTAGCGAGCCAGTACCAGTGATGATACACCTCTCTTCTGCACCCGGAAGCCTTCATGTGAAACATCGTGTTGGTTTATCGTAATAAACCATGTAGTGTGCTACATGGGTTGCGTTCCAATTCGCGAAGTGCTCATTTCAGTGTATCGAACTCTCCTCTTGTGCTAGCTACTACAAATCCTTGTAATGGCTATTGTTCTGGTTTCTCTGAGTCCTACTCTAGCAGTTCCACAATAACAGAACACCATTGTAGACAACCTGACTTGTGTGCCATCATCAATGTAGGTGTGTTCTGTCCAAAAAGACTCTACAAATGCATCTTTGTTCAATCCATTTTTAATCAATTTCGACCTAATTTAGGTCAAAATTGAATCCTGCCCGACTGCAAGCTACATCATGATCTCTCATCGTGGCTTCTCTGTCGTCGCACCGTTCTTGGTGGCCCATGACCTACCGATGATCTGCTTCCATCATTGCACACTCGACAATGACCCCCCAAACAGCATCTGATATATTTTTACGATATAAAATATTTTGATTTCAAAAATCTAATACTAATTGTAAACATAAAAATTATAATTATGTTGTTATGCGAAAAACTTAAATACTAGAAACTGAAATATGCAAAACACATTCGTCCAATTCGAAAGAAGCAATAATACCAATTTGAAAGGAGAACTAAACTCTTCTTCTTTTTATCATGATTCGAGGTTCTATCCTTTTATAGACAAGAGCTAAGTTGGATTATAATCTCAAATTATAATCAATCATATCTATAATATATCATATCTAATTGAATACGACTATAATTTGTATCATCTGATAACAAATAGATCTTATAAATCAATCCAAGCCCTCTTTATCACTTTCGATGTCGTATGGTATACAGAGCATCAAATGTGAATGTGAATCACATAAAGTCTAATTTGAGAGAGAAGAGATAATTTCGGGTCAGATTCAAGTCGGGTTATCGGATCATTATGAGGCACCAACATCCATTGTCCGATCGCATCTTATCCGAAACCGGCCCCCACCCACCGCCCCGTGGCCCCTCCACGGGCCCCGCCCAAATAGCAATTACTTTCAAATCGGAGGGCCATTTTGAAATATGTTGTCTTCTCGGTTCGAAACCCCGTGGCCCGCCATCCAGATGTACGGGTGGGATCATCCGATCGGACGGCAAGAGAACCGTTGGCTTTCCCCCCTCGAAAAGCGAGCTTCCAAAGTCTTGCTGCTCCGCCACGACCGCACGGATCTCCGCCTCATTCTCCCCTCACAGGAAATAGAAAAGGTAAAAAGGAGGTATCTTTTTCTGCTCTTATCCATTGTGATCTCCTCAGTCGGATTGCGATTTAGAGTTACGATCCTGTTTTTTTTCTCCGATTGCGAGGCCGATCTCCAAATATCTCACCATTTCGGTTTCCCTTTCGTTGTCGATGGTTCGGAACGCCTTCTTTTGATCCAAGAGTTCGATTTCTTCTGATTTATGACTCTGCGTTTGGATCATACCTGAAATAGATTTGTTATCTTGTTTTGTACCTTAATCTGCTTTTCTTATGTTAGTAAAGATTCCAATTGCATGCTTTCCTGAAGGATTCCTAATGCGTGGGTTTCGTTTCTTAATTGGTAGAGAAAAGTCAGCTTGTCCAGTTTTGATCAAAATTTGATTTATTTGATAACCAATTCTGATCTGTGTTCCTTTGGGATCATGATGATGACAAGACAACTTTGAAATTTCTTCTGGATGTGGTCAATTATTGGTTCGAATCGTATGCACTGTATCTGTTAAAAATGTAAGAAAAGATACCAGCTATATGTCCGAGAAAGTTCATATGCTTTGACTTGATGGAGAATTCTTAAGAAAGATAGTCGATACTGTGCTTAAACATGTACAAAGTTAGATTAAATTTCATATGATTGCATCGATATCTGTCTGCTCTACGTTTGTAGATTAGCCCAAGTTTGTTTCCTCTTCTCGTCAAATTTAGCCATCTTGTGTTCCTAGTGGTCAATAATGGTGCTAGTAATAGAAACTATATTTTGTGTTACTATCCATAATTAAGTTGTCGTAATTACTATGACTGTTCAGGGTGATTCTGTCCCTATCGATTAGATCATTAGCAAAACCATCTTTGAGAGCAAACAATTGTTACCATATAAAAAATGCTTGTGTTAATTTCTATAATGACCTTGTTACACGTTCTATCATTAAACATAAAGAGATTTTGAGTGAGCTTAGTTTTCATTTATTCTGGTTAATTGTTGCTTACTCTATCTGTTTTGCTATTCCTCAGAAATGGCTGATATGAAGCCTGGGTTGAGAAAACCAGTATTCACCAAGGTTGATCAGCTTCGGCCCGGAACCAATGGGCATACATTGACAGTTAAGGTGGTGGACTCCAAGATGGTCCTGCAGAAGAAGCGCCCTGATGGGCCTCAAGTACGTCAAATGCGTATTGCAGAATGCTTGGTTGGTGATGAAACTGGCATGATTCTCGTCACTGCTAGGAATGAGCAGGGTAAACCTTTTTGTTCTGATTTATGGCAAGCCTTTATAGTTTTACTAGTCCATTCCAGTCCACTTAAATACATCAATAGATTTATGTGCGCTTTTTATAATATGTATTATCATGGTTCAGGGTGACTCCTCCTCCTCAAGTCTCAACATTTAAGTCTTGGTAATCCAACAAATGGCAAGCTTGCATATATTTGACCCTTCCTGTGTCCTGCTTTGGTGGGAGCCTCGTGCATCCTCCTTTTAGCTGAACTTAATAGAGAAGAACATCTGAAGTCAAAAACATAAGATGATAGATCAAGAATTATCCTAATTCAATCAAGATTCTAAATTGAAACAATGTGAAGAAGAGGATTCTGAAATAAACCAAACTACTGATGTGATGATGAGTGCTCGATAATTATCTAAGACTTGAACTACTGATTAGAGAATTCCAAAGTAAGATTTAACCACTATTCCAGTTTTCAGCCATCAAATGTAAATGAAATACTAAAATTAATGAATTAGACACTCATATCAAGTGGGTTAATCAAAATGTTTGCATGCTGTTTCATCTCTCATATCAATTCCTTTCATTCTTTTCCCATACATGTACGAAGAAAAAGGTAAAAGTTGGGCTTGTATGGAACTCCTGGAAATGTTCCTTGAAGACCTGGTTTCATACTTTCTGCTCTTCTCGTGCTTCAATTATGCAAATTATGATGTATTTTTAGCCCACCCTTCTCTTTACATGAGCTTACTGCAATCTCTGGCACCCTGAACCTGTATAATTATTAAATGACAATTCTCTATTTAAGTTTTTTCTAATTGTTGCTTCTCAATTGTATTCTTTCACATTGCTTCTGTAACCTGTAAATGCACTTTTTTTTTCAGTGGACATGATGACGCCAGGGACCACATTAATTCTCCGGAATGCAAAGATTGATATGTTCAAGGGATCCATGAGACTTGCTGTGGACAAATGGGGCCGTATTGAAGTGACCGATCCAGCAGATTTCACTGTGAAAGAGGATAATAACCTATCTCTGGTGGAATATGAACTGGTGAATGTTGTCGAAGAGTGACTTGGTTTCGCCGTGCTGATACTCTACCTATGTGCTGAGCAAATCAAACGTAATATACTCTTCTATGTATCTGGTGGTTAGCAAGTTGTTTTTACATCCTCCAAGCATCCGCAACTATGGAGCAGCCCAGACAAACTAATTTTAGGACATCAAGGTGCAATCAAGATAAAGCTACAAGCAGATCTGAGCAATGCATGCTTGTCGAAGCCTATGATGGTAATTGTTTGAACTTTGTTTGGCTTGTCCAAAAGTTAGTCCATGTTGTGTTGTTACTGGCTGTTTAATTTGGTTCTGAGAATGTCTTTGTGGTCTTTGCTCATGTGACAACACATCCATGAATAAATATCAAATTATCGAGAAGTGCTGCTTTATCTTACAGTGAGATTTGAGAATCCATCTTTTGCTGATGAGATGGTACATCTTAAATTTATTTGCTTCCAAATGGTATGTCTTTGTAGAAAGTAGGACATAAAATGAAACATCATTGTGTTTTGTTGTACATTCTGTCATAGTTTCTACGTACCGATTGATCCATCTTTCTTTCTATCAATAATCAATATGAGATTTTAAGCTGAGTTTGATGCAGATTCTATCATGAAATCCATGTGTCTGAAACAGCAGAGACAGCATTATTATGCATTCCAGATACATCGAGTATGTTGTCGATACAGTAATACCAAGAGTCTTCTTTAAGAACGGACCTAATTAGATACATGTCGATGCAATTCTGAGGAGGGTAGAGCTCAACCGTCTACTCCAATCCATCGATCCTATCCGTCAGTTGATCCCGATAAGTCCATCTCGGCGCTTTGTGGCCCGTCAGATCCTTGGGTTCTCTCCCGTGGAGTCTCGCGAGTCCTGTTGTGGATATGGCGGCATATCGGCCGACCGCGTAAACCCCGGAAGCCGAACCCTAACTCTAACCGCCCGCGACTCCAAGCCGCTAGCGAGCGCCTCCACCGCGCCTCCCTCCAGGAGCTCGACGTACTCCTTCCGCCTCCGTTTCCACCACGGCCACATCGTCCGCGGTTCCTCGCTCTCGACGGTGCGCCTCCCACTCCCCACTCTCGTGCTAACGCTCTACTTCTTTCTCCTTTCCTCCTTCTCCTGCTATCGCTCTCCTTCTTTCTCCCCTCCTCCTCTGCCGTCGCCCCAGCCCGAGTCTTACCGATCTCGCGTCCCTACCAACGGCCTCCCCAGGCCCCGACATCCCGCATCTCCCTCTTTCTTCTCGTCCTCCGTCGGCCCCCGTTGAGCCTTCCCGACAGCTCCCATCCCCCTCCCACCTACTCCTCATCCTTATCCTCATCATCATCCTCCTTCTCCCCGATAGCTCCCATCCCAAGTCCCAATCGTCAGCCCCCTCTCCTTGCTTCTTTCCCAGGCAACCCCTTGCTGCTTCCCTGCTTCTCCCCCTCCTTCTCCCCGATAGCATTTGCTTCTTTCCCAGGCAACCCCTATGAATTGTTTGAAGGATTGAAACTGTCATTGCTGGGGTTTTGGTGCTTTAAATGAATGTAATTTGATGATTTAGTAGTGATATTTGAAATATGATGTATTGTCTTATTTTTATTTAAGCGATTATATTTTTCTATAATTTTAATATTAGCGAGCACCTCATCTCGGTCGCCAGAGCATCTAACGCCTCGGCATTTTGGCACTTACAGCTTTTAGCGCTTATCACCTTTGACTACACTGCAAGCTAGAACTATGCTCATGCATTCATTCCATTTTGCTCTGCTGGTATCATTTGCATGTTTTCTAATGGCTATCATGTTTGTTGCTTATCAGCTAATTTTTATTTTCTTGGTTCTTTTCATATGATTTTGATTGAGGCCATCTATGTTCCTTGTCAATTATGTATCCGTTTTCAAATTTGTATAGGCATGCATTCGAGTGGAGGCACATGAGACTCCTTCTGTTTCTGCATTTGCATATTATTTTTGCTTATGTTTAGTATTTCTCTACGTTCCATTGTCTTTTTTGTTGGCTGAAGGATAAAGAACAAGAAAAACAAACAAAATGCCTCTGGGATTGATAGTGGGGTTGGCGAGGGCAATGCGGAGGAAGCGAACTTCATCATTGAGTATATTATCTTCAAAAAGAGGGCCCCGGGACTACTACAAGGGAAAAAATTGCAAGCCCACTGGTTTCCACACTCGTAAAGGTTATGATCATCACACTCGATTTTGTTTACTGTGTTCCGCGGTCTTTCATAATTTCAGTTTTGTTTACTTGCTTCTTTTAAGGGGTGTTGAAATCTCATGGCTAGGCATTCACTAGAATATTTCTTAGTTCTTATTCCTTTAATGTGGTTGATATGATTCATGAATCAATTGAGTTTAGTTGGTCTAGTGTGATGATCGAGTGAAAGGATCATACTGGTCCTTTTTTTTTTTTTTTCGCCTTTTGGCATATGCTTTCATAGTTTTCGTAATGCCATGCAAGATGTGTGTCCAAGAATTTCATAATGCAGTCCTGTTTGAGACTTATACTAATTTCCACCTCCTTGCATAATCTGCATTCTTTAGGGGTTCAAAGAAAACGGAACATATAGATGAATGCTATACTATAGTTAGTAGTATAATATTTTACTTCGTTAAGCAACTCAAAGCAAGTTCTAATCTTGAATTAAATTTGATGGGAATGCTATTTGTTATTGAGGTCAATGTATCATTTTGTAACAGGTGGGTATGTAGTGATGGATGAGAAGTTGCCACTCTATGTTGTCCCAGATTTAACCGACTTTAAGGTAATTTAAATGTTAATAGCATCATACCTTTGAATAAATTGCTATTTTTTTTCGTATGCTTGAACTCTGATATGAACTTTATAGATTTCTTATTGGAAATAACTCTAGGAATGTTAAACTAAGTAATTTTTATTCTCTATACTAATTATTCGTGGAGAAACCATCACTGGAGTTTTATTAACTCAGTTGCTATTTGCTATGTGACTGTGGATTCTTGTGGTGATGTTATTTCTTTCCATCTATTTTCTTAACTCTGTGTTCTGAGAATTCAAAGTTCAGCTGAATCATTTGTCTACTCTTAGAGACACTGAATCATGGTATTTACTTATTTCTGCAGCTCAAGCCATATGTATCACAGTGCCCCAGGGATGCAACTGCCACCTCCGCCTCCACCACCACCGCCGAGTCTGCCGATAAGGCCAAGTAAATGCCGCACGAGTTTGTACAACTTGTGTTGTTGCACATCTGTTGCATGCAAGAATTTTTCAGTGACTCTTAGTCATTCTTGTTTACATTGGATGCATATATCCCTTTGATTGCCAAAAAAAAAAAAGGCACCTTAACCTTTGGGTATCTCCATAAAAATTAATAAATGGGCATAATAGACTCGTCATGTTGTGATGTGATGAATGTTTTCTATATTAGGGTTATCTGCATGTACAAATCTGTCATATTGATTTGGCCCCATGGATTGTGTACTACCGTTGTGTGTCGCATCATCATCATCATGTTCCTTCTTCGCGGTCTAATCGGCGTAAGTAGTCTCGGTTGAATTCATACGGAACTCGAGACCTTGGAAGCTAAGAACAGCAACTAAGGTATCTATCTACACGCTTATAAAACCATTGGCTAATTTAAAAAAAAAATTCATAAAAATAATTTAATACTAATATAGAAATAATGACACGACATGATACGTCAATCCTATTTTATCATTATGTAATTAATCACATATGGAAAAACGAGTTGAACACTTCCAATAATTGACACATTCTACGAAAATAATAATAATTAATAAATGTTAATTATTATTATTATTATTATCACCAAGATGTTAAAATTAAGGAAAAATATGATTGTTTCAAAAGAAAAAGGAACCCTTTTCCTCGTCAACTTTGTTCGATCTCAAAGGTATGATCGAACCGTCCTCCACGAAACGAACGGTCGAAGCAAGTCGATGACGGTAGTAGCGCACAACCGGTGTTTGGACAACGAGCCACGTGTCGCACTGGCAAGACGACTGAGAAGCATCGCGCCTCACCAGTATTCCGTTCCGTCCTCCCACCGCCCAATTTATTTGGCACGGATGCCACCCGTGGCCCTTCTCCCCTCCCTGTCTTCGGAGCCGGCGATGTCGCTGGAGCTCCATCCCCACCCGCCATCGCCGCAGTACGATGAGGAGGAGAAAGCCTCCCCCTCCTCCTCCTCCTCGTCGGCGTCGTCGCCCGCGGCGGAGGACGCGAGACCCTTTCTCCGCCGCTCGGCGTCGGCTGCTGGAGGCGGCGGGAGAAGCCGGAGGCGGAGGACCGTCAGCGAACCCTCGCTCCGATCCCTCTCCTCCCACACCTCGCGGGGCCGCTCCTTAGGTAGAGACGTCGGCCACGCTGCCGCCGAGACGTTTCTTCTTACCCGCCTCGCCATCACCCTCCTCCGCTATCTCGGGTTTCCTCCTCCACCTCCTCATCGCTTTATTTGTTCCTCGCTTCATTTTGGCTTAGAATGGTTTAGCTTTTCTCGAATTTTTTCTGGTTTCTGAAACTATTTCCATGGAAAGTTTCTAAAGCAGTTGTAGTTTTTCTTGAATTATAGTGTTTGCAGAATTTTCTTGAATTCTTTGGCTTCTTGATACCGTTTCCATTTAAATGTTTCATTTTTCATGTTGGAGCTGATGTTCCTCTTGTCTCCACCTCTTTTAATTTCTTGAAGCATATTGTGCACCAGTTCTTGTACATTATCCAATATGAAAGATTCTTTTTCTACAATTATCGGATGTTATGTTGTCTTGTGGATAATCGATTTGTTTTAACTTGTAAGGTAAAATTTGCATGCCTTCTCATTTCATGAATGTTTCTGTGGACCAAACCCTCTGTTCGGAGAGGTACTTCTCGTGATGCGATTCAGCTGTATGTTTTTGCCTGATAAGTTTCAAGAATTTTTAAGCTTTCCGAAGCAATTTTTTCATTTAAAATATTATACTTAGTATTCTTTTTGCGCCACTTACCATGATTATAATATCCCGATAGGGTGGTCTGAGAAGTAGAACCTAAACCTCCCCATCTAAAGCTAAACATCAGACCGTCCAACAATTGCATTGTCGTTTACTTGGGAAAATAAATAGAGTTATGATCCAATCAAAGAACCGCATGGAAACTTAATATACCCCTAAAATATCATTTCAAGAATTTCTTTGTAAAGGAATCTAAAGCATTTCAGAGACCTTTATGTGAATAATAGTCAATAACCAACAAAACCTTTCCAGGTGACTAACTTAAGTCTTCAGAGTCGTGTTTTGGTCAAAATGTATTTGGCTTCTGATTGATAATCTTAAAACGTGAGATTCATATCATGCACAAAGTAGAAAAATTAAAAGAAGCATCCGGGTACCATGAAAATCAATCTTAGCCAAGACATCAAAATGGAGGATAATCCTAAACCTGATGAAGAAGTAGCTATTCGTCTTGATCACAGTGAATCTTTAGTTACCTGCATCAACATTTTCTTTTCAGATTGTTGGCTAAGGAACCTATGTCAGTAGGAAAAAAGGCATTTTAAGGTTGGGGTGCTACTATTTTTCTCACTAACTGAACTTTGAAGTTTGAAGTACTAAAACTTTTCTATAACTTAACTCTTCCTTGGACACCAAAGAATCATCAAACTTAGCATTTGGGGACGTATATTGCAGATGCTGAATGGCAATCTAATTTCTGTTAGTTGTTTCTTTGAAAGACTTCTTGAAAGACTTGTAGGATACCTACTGTAACTAGAGATGTACAAAGGCACATAACCTATTTCTAGTATGGAAACTTCAAATACCACTATTGTTAATAAAGTCCAGTTTAGCGCTGAGTAGTTTGAATTTTAGATTATGTGTCTAACACTTTTGAACTGAGAAATATGGAAATGGACTGTGTCAGCCTCCAGTATATCTTCTTGGACTTATTTGGTTAGTCTTCAAACATAATTCTTCCATTAATTCTTTTGGGCAGAAATGCTATATCTGTGTTCATTTTGATCTGCCCTTGATGAAAATTAGCTTCTCATCAAATTTATTAATCTTGCTCAAAATTTTCTGATGAAACATTTCTTTCGAGGCATGGAGCATTTCTTGATGTCTAAAATGTTGGCACACTGTTTCTTGTATATGATAAATTTTAACTATTGTAATGTACTTTATACTTCTTGACACGATTTATTATAATTGCAATGGAGTGGAAAAGCATCCCTTTTTCAGTGTTACCCCAATGTATTGACTACTTCGTCTCTTCTCAGGGTGGGCTATAGGTGGATCACAAAGTTTCTTGCCCTTATTTGTTATGCAACTTTGCTTATGCCAGGATTTCTCCAGGGTAAGTTCTGTACTAATGGCTGATTTCTAAAAATATTCTGAAGCACAAAGACTTGGCAACCAATTATATTGTTCTAGCTACTTTGTGTTTCTAGATGATAATAACTCCAGCTTCATCAAAAAGTTCAAACGGATGTAATGTCACTTACTCTAACCAAAACTACGTGTTGCTTGTTATAGTTGGATATTATTATTTCTTCTCAAGTCAGGTACGTAGAAGCATTGTATATGGAGATCGGCCAAGAAATCGGTATGTCATCACTGGGAACTTGATTAAAATTTATCTCATACTGATCTTTCTTGAGTTGTTGATACATATGCTGATTCCCTTTTGGAATTGATTAGAATATACTGTTGCAGATTAGATCTCTATTTACCGACAAAAGTTGATGGTTTGAAACCAGTTGTTGCATTTGTTACTGGAGGAGCGTGGATTATCGGGTGAGTGCTAATATATGTGGTAAACAGGAAAACTTGGTAACTTGGGTCTTGTTTCTGACAGGTTGTTGTTCTGAAAATTACTTAAATCTCAGTCCCTTGCTTCTTGAAATTTTGTGCAGTTATAAGGCTTGGGGTGCACTTTTAGGAAGGCGGTTGGCAGAAAGAGGCATCATAGTGGCATGCATAGATTATAGGTATGTCGTTCAGACCCTGCCATACTGAAGAACAAAAATTGCCCTTATCTACATACTATTGTTGGGCATGTGTAATTACATAAAATTGCTGCATAGGGGTGTTGTTGGCCAAGCTTGATCATGCCTATACGTGTTCAACCTTGGCATGAATTTGTTTCACGCCTAAATAAATGGTCAAGCTTGGCTTGTTACATAATTGGTTGAGCTTTAGTGGAGGCTAACTCTGAATCTAGTTGAGCTCAATCATGTATCAAGTGATCTCCTAAGCTAAATTGAGCTCCTTTCATGTTTTTCAAAAGAACTTGAATTTGTCAAGTTTTTATCGTGGCAGTACATTTAGGATCTTTCTGAAATTAATTTCTCACCTAGTTTGCTATTAAAACTCAGCTTATTCAAGCTTGCAACCAAGCCGAGCTCAAGTTGTTAAAGGGGCTTTCTTCAATAACTAAATGCACTGCCATGAAAAAAATTGACAAAATATCATTTATTCCCTTATGATTACAAAAAGTAGGGGTGTCCTTATCACTGAGAAGGTTACCCAGCATACATGGCTCTTGTCAATGTAGGTCTAGGGCACCTTACAATTGCAGCAGAGAGTGCTTTTCTGAAACTTGAACCCTGATACTAGAAAAAAAGAAGAAGAAAAGATCGAGCATGTGATCAGCGTTTAATTCAACTTTAATGAAGTAATAAAGCTGCAAAAAAAAGAATTGATTGGATACAATGAGAGGGGAGAAGGAATGTGATATATGATTTGGTTTCTTAAGAGAGTAGTTTTTTTTTTTCAGCCAGGATTCTCTCTCAATCCTGAGCAACCTCCTATATTATTCTGCCTTAGCTCATGATTACATATTGATTCTTTTTCTGGGACCTTGTGGGCATTGTTTACAGTGACCTTACCATTTTATAGTAAGGATACGCTGTAGTGCTCATTCGTGGTCTTGTACCGTACCTACATATCTAGTATGACATCTTTGTACAGAAATTTCCCTCAAGGAACCATCAGCGATATGGTGGAGGATGCATCTCAAGGCATCTCATTCGTGTGCAATAACATTGGAAGTTATGGAGGCGATCCAAACAGGTAAAAGGATCTGTTTCTCACAGCAACAGTAGGCATCAAACATCTGATCTTGTGTATGTTAAATTTTGGGAGGATATTATTCAAAGGTTTTCCACCATGAAGTCCCAATTTCATGAAGGGCCCTTGACATTCTAGAACTGTGAAGCATGAAATATATGGATCACCATAAGACGTTAATGGAATGAATGCCAAATTTGTGCTAGTACCATGTTACATCTTATATTTTGTTGACTGAAGATTGTCTTGCTTTGGTGCATGGCATGCAAAGAAGGATACAAGGCATAATATAACTTTTTTGGTATGAAGATGTGCTCATGGTTTTTCCCGATTCTTTTGCTAAATGGATTCACTGATATGTCATAAAAGAATTTGTTAAATGAACCTCATCATTAGGCTTTAGAATGGCATACTTGTGAATTTCTTTTTCTTTTTTTTTGCTATAAAAGTTCTATAAGTTTTTTTTTTCAGTTCAGGGTTACATTTATATGTTGTACTAAATTTAGATTAAGTATTACTTTCTTTTTTTAGCTGTTGATTAAAAATTTCAATGTCATGTTAATCTTTGTGAAAGGAATTTGTCCTGGGTGTGTCAGAAGGGAAATTTTAGGGGCTTTATTGGGACAAATATATCTAAGAGGTTTTATTTACCTTGTAAGATATATGCTTATGGTGTCCTCAGATCAATATAACATAATTGGAATATAGGGTGCAATATAAGAAATAATCAGATGGGTTTAGCAAAGAAGGAGATAGTCAAAGTTGACAACTAATTTCTTTTTGGTATGGTTTTCTGCAAATGCCCCTTTATACATTTGAGTATCTCATTCATATTTATTGAAAAGGAGGCAATGCCTCGTATATTTGCAAGGTATGAATACAAGTACCTAGTAAAGCAGGTAAGAAAGTAAAAGAGAATGAAAGAAACACTAAATAAAGGATTACATGTCAATTTTTATCAAAAACAGAAAATTGCCATACCTATCTAGCGATACTACTATAATTTCAAGCCATACTATTTAGAACATCTGTAATTTTATTCCCAACAAACCATCCAGATCAACACTCTGATTTTTTATGCTACAGTTAGAAAGATGTTCAGGAAGTAAACATTTATGAAACCAGCGTAAGATGCCAAAGTTGTCCATCTATGTAGTAAATGCACAAGTTCAGAAAAGTTGCTTGCTATTTTCATCTTCACTTCTGCACACATAATCTTGAGATTCTGATATCCTTTCTTAACCAAGTTGGCTGTAAGTTTCCTTTGAATTTTCTAAGCATTAATTTGTAAATATTATGTTTTTGTACCAAAATTTTCATGGTCCCTGAGAAAGAATTTTCTATTAACTTGTCATTCCATTTTTTTCTGCAAAGGATCTATTTGATTGGACAATCTGCGGGTGCACATATTGCTGCTTGCACTATTCTTGATCAGGCAATTAAAGAATGTGGAGAAAGAGAGTGCACATCATGGAGTGTCTCACAAATAAAAGCATACTTTGGTATATCTGGGGGGTAAATCTCTTCATTGTTTGTATCTGTATGTTTTTATTTACCTCAATAATGTTCTATTTGTACTAGGGCTTGCGGCCTCAGCTATCAGTATCTTTTTCTGGTTTCTTGTAGAAGTGATGGCTTCAAACTTGCATATTTTAGGTTATCTATGATCTGTGTGTGGTGCTGTATGAGGTTTCAGAATGATAATGCACTCACATTCATGGGCTTTTATCACTTATCTGCAACTAGGAATGCTTAAATTGTAACTGCAGGCATTTTACAAAGTACATATGTATAGTGGCTTTCATTTCTACTCTAGCTTGTACTTTCACAGGCAACTATCAGTTATTCTCCATTTCGCCTCGTATTCAAGTTGCCCATGAGTTTAAATGCTAGATTTTCAAACAGAGTGCAAAGTGCAAGCTTTAGATGCAACCAAGCGAACTGTAGATTGAATCAGAAACACAACCAATTAAACCTTTAAATTCTTAAGCTGCTTCTATTGACTTCCAATTCCATGGAGTATATCCAAGTTGCCCATGAGTTTACATTCTTAGGCCTGACCAAGTCACACCTCAATGTCATTAAATTGGAACTTCCATGCTATTATACATGTATTTTTTTTTAATATACAAATGTTAGATATGAAAAGAATTATGCACTTTTCACAATCAAATGATGTGAAATATAGCGTATGCCTTCAATTGACTACTTGAAAAGAAATTTGCGTAGTACCAAGATAACTGTCTTTTAATTGGTCTCTTTTCTTTATTACTCTCAATTTCTCAAATCTTTTTCTTTTGAGATTTTAAAATCATGCTTCAAAGCAAGGATCGTCGTTTTGGGTACTAGATCCATTTCGGTAATCTGTCAAACTAGTACATACTGGTCAGTACTGGTGTACCGGTGATGGTGAACCGGTATGCACTGGTGTTTCGAAGAGGAAGAAAAAGAGAGAGAAAAGAAAGGGGCGGTGGAGGAATAGCGGAAGAAGGAGAAAGGAGAAGGAAGGAAGAAGGAACAAGAGGAAACAGTGGAGGAGGAAGAAGAAGAAATGGTGGAGGAGGAAGAAGGAAGAAAAGGAGAAGAGGTGGGAGCGTACTTAGGAAGAAGGAGCATGACAGCAACAGTGTTGGCAGCGTCATCACGAAACAATGGCAATGGGAAAGCAGCAACAATGACAGCAGCATTGAATGTGAGAAGAGCACATTCATGAGCCCTAATTTTTATTTTAGGATTTTTTTTAATGCCAAGTTGGCTGGGTCCCACTGCTGTTCTCTATTTTTTATTATTTTTACCAGATTGGGTTGCTTGGAACAGGGGTGGTCTGCGTACTGTCCCACGCTCGGACCGGTATGTACCACCCGCTTCGTACCATTTTGGGCGGTACAATAATCCTTGCTTCAAGGCACGTAGTGGATATTGAACTTGAAACAAAAAAAGCAACCCCGACTAGATTAAGCTAAATATAGCTAATTCAGTTTATGTGCATTAGAATTCTTCTCCTAACAGGCATTCTTCTTTTCCTTCTAGGCTGCCGCTCATGAACTACATTACTTTTCCTAATTATTCCCTCACCCTTTATAACTATTCGCAGTCCAATAGTTTTAGCTTTTAATTGTTTTTGCGCCTCTTATAAAAAAGTAAGAATAACTCAAGGCAGCAGCTCATATTAATAGAAACTAGAAAATATTTTAAAATTTTAAAACTGTTTTAACCAGTTTTTCAATATATGTCAATTTCAACTCGTGTATAGAATTTTTCTTTTCTTTCTTCGTTGAGAAAGACATCTTTTCAAGTGACATGGTGTCAACAAGGAATAAAAAATTATACCGTTCAGCATGTGTATCATGGGCCAATTTATTTTACTGTTTCTCATCGAAGTTTGGGATTTTATGAACCATGTTAGTGAAGTGTTGGACTTTTTTATATAGATTTTAGAAATATTACTATTTTATTGCTGAATGATAAGACATTTATGTAACAACTATGAGGTTTTCTGTTTGAGAATCTGACGGATGAACAAATAGAAATATTAAAGTGGTCAATTTGCTAATAAACAATTTGCATCTCTTAATGTTACATCCATCATGCTTTTTTCTTAAAAGTATTGGACTTTCTACATATGTTCACTACTTGGAACTCAACAGGACCCATCCTGGAATGCAGGCTACACAGTGAAAGCATGCCTTGAGTGCTTTTCACAATTGGTTAATTTGCATGAGTCTTTATATATTGTCTAGAGAAACACAAAGGCATATTTATCTTAAAGATTTATTTCAAAAACTTTCATTGGCAGGTATAACATGCTTGAGTTGGTCGATCATTTCCATAGTCGTGGCCTGTACCGGTCTATTTTTCTAAGGTATTAATTAATTGTATTCTGTTGTATATCGATATTATCTTGTATTATTCTTTTGATGTCTTTTTGTTTCTCAAAACATTCTTTGCATTACCAGTAATCAGAATGTTCTTATATTATCTGTTCCAGCATAATGGAAGGGGAGCAAAACTTGTGGCGTTTTTCTCCTGAAGTTCTGGTCCAGGATTCTAGTATTAAACATGCCATATCTTTGCTGCCTCATGTCATCCTGTTTCATGGAACAAGTGATCAATCTATACCATCAACTGCCAGGTTGGTTTACAGGAATTGCTTGGATAATGAAATCTATATGCCCTGGCTGATGCTTCTTAGACCCTTGGCTTGAGTAGATGCTTACAAAAATTAGAAGCAGACAAAATGTGACCATAATTATAACCATGCAACAGATCTCATTCTAAATTTAGTTTTACTTTTAACAAACTGTAATTTCTTCCCTTAATCCATTTAGTTTGTGCTTGTTTTCAGAAGGAAACGTATACTTCTTGGTTAATAATATACTGACCTAGATGCAAAATGCTCCTTGTATGAAGAAATCAGTGATAAATTACTCGTGCCTTATTATTGTAATTGAGATGGCATATTACTTTTGCTCTTAACCAGGAACTAGTTGTCTTAGTTTTCTCTTTTTAGCTTTCCATAATTTTACACACTTAATGTTGTGGTGCTTTATTGGCAAACAAGTTGAGGCCTGAACATGAGGTCTTTGGAGATGATGATTGATCTACTAGAATTATATTAATGTTGACCTTGATTTTTGTCAGATGTCACCTTATTTTACTGTGAGCTTTCATGTCTTCTGAAAGAGTTTTCTTCTCCTGTATGTCTTTTATGCAACAATATGCTGTCACTCTGCAGACTATGGTTTTCCTAACCTAATATCCATCGTTACTGAATATGAATAGACTGTTATTTGCAGCAAAAAGTTTGTTGATACCCTTCACGGTGTTGGTGCTAAGGTTGACATCGTTTTATTTGAAGGAAAAACTCACACAGATCTGTTTCTTCAGGTAATAACAGATGGCTATTTCAATGATTCTGATATGGTGGAGTTGCACACTAATACTCGTACATCTATTGAAGCTTAATCTTCTCTGAATGATTCTTCATTCAACAGTTTGTCTCATGTTAAAGTGTAGGTTTGCCGGCTAAATGAAGCTACCATAAAGCATGGATATCAACACAGTATACAGATACAAAATCATATGGATATGCTGACATGGAAAACTTTGAAAAATAAGTATGAGAAAACATGAATATGGAAATAAAATGTAATTATGCATATGTTATTTATATACACCAAACCTTAACATTATTCTACAATGTTAAGGAATATGTAAACTTTAAGCAAGAATGTCATAAATTGCTACAGATTATGGTTACGAGTCATAATATTTACTTACTAGATGTGAGCATCTGTACTTGTTCACTTGGAAGTTATTATTAACAAAATAATATTCTTAAAAAAGATGAAAGCTGTTGATTTCACAGTAAGAGAAGATGAAATGAAATGTTTACATTCTTCATAGTGATGACTGAAGACTGTTATAGCAGATGAAAAAATGGTGCAATTAATTGTGATTCATCTGAAAAAATGCCCTTTCAGTTATATACAGCCAAGAAGCATTAGTTGTTTTCTTTTCTGTGGTTACTAATTAGGGATACTTTATTTAACATTTTCCTTAATTAACTGGCATTTTAGGATCCTCTTAGAGGGGGAAAGGATGAACTGCTGGAACATATTGCTGCAGTCATTTATGGTGGTGTTGCAGCTGCACATGCCCATATATCTGTAGCACCCTTGCCACGTCGTCTTGTTCCTGAATTCATGTTGCAGCTGGCTCGCAAAATAAGTCCCTTCTAGAAATTCATGTTTCAATTACAAGGTAATTATTCAACAATTTGTTGCTACCAATCCTTGCAACATTATTTTTGTGTTGATGTCACAAAACAAGGAATGGCTTAGCATAATTCATCATATAGTTATTTTATTGGAGCACTGTTCATGGAATAAAAAATGGAGAATAAATAAATGGCAAATGTATCAGCATCTTCTGTAGTAAAATTGAATTGACAAAACCTAGAACTTTAGAGGGTCATATTTACCCATGCACTAATATGTGTCTTGTTTGCGAACTATGAAAATTGCTTGCATATTTTGGTAATTTTTATGTTCTCAAGTTGATCCTGCCATTGATAACCCTATAGACTTTCAAAGTTGTGCTCATATTGGTGTAACTTCCCCTGTGTTTCCATTTGTCATCAGTGTAGATTCTAAATACCCCAAATTGTTTATAGATTTCAAAGCATTTACTTGAGTATATAAATCTTAATGATCGAAAACATTGGAAACTCGTGGGTAGTGACAAATAGTGTTTGATTATAATATACTAAAGAAAATGATTCCACTCGTGATGCTTTCGTTGTTCCAGTTATGAAGTGGAAAATATATGTCTCTGTGATTACTTTATACAAAAAGTTGCCGTCTTAGGTGTGTCTGTTTTCTTATGAAATTTTGTGCAGAAGCTTTTGTTTTTCCCATTGCAAATAAGGGTCCTTTGCTTATGCAAGGAAAGCTTCAGCTTTGGTTTTCTTCATTTAGGAGGGAGCATACTTGCCCACAGAGCAAGCTAATGAAAGTATGCTATTTAACCAGTCTCATTTTCTATATTAGAAGATGATTTTCTATATGCAACATTACTCTTGCTTTCATTATAATGAGAAGGTAGATATTAGGACATCAGTTTCAATCAAAACTAAACTTGTCTATTTCTAATGTAATCTTCTTTGGTAAACTTCAATTATTTGTGTCTGGCATGCATATTCAAAGTAGGCCATGCCTTTTCATTTCCTGTTGTCCTTTACCGGCAGTCAAGCTAAAAGAGGAAACAAAATTTTTTTTTTCTTGTGGAAGCGTGGTCGATTTGTTTTGTTAGCCCTGCAATATATATTTTCCGCACTAAACAATAGATATTTGCGGTTGGTAGGTTGGTAGGTTATCGGCTTGGCATTACAGATCTTGTAATACATGTTCTACATTACAGATCTTTGAAACCATTGTATATTTGAAACCATTGTCACTGTTCATCTCTGGCTCATATAAAGGCCATGTGTGAGATGCTAACCCTGGATTTCTTTTGTTTGCAGTTGGAGAGGCCACATATCTGGTGGTTGGCGTGGCACGTGATCCCACCTATGCTTTTTGTCTCGATGTTGGCTGGCGCTGTGCTTTGGCTCTTTGCACCTCCATGATCTAACTCTTATGATGCACTTCTTCCTCCATGATCTAACGTTGGGAGGAAAGAAATTGAGGCAGTATGACTACAACCATCAATGAAACCGATCTCCATTTAACTTGAAACAACTGATGGCTATACCATCGCTTATGTTTCTGGCATTTCATACGTAGAAGTACATGTAGTTGTTCAGTATGGTGAAAGAGTCTCATCTGTTTCCAGCATTTGATGTGTAGGTGGAAAACCAGAAGTAGGTCAAGAAGGTCACCATGCTGAAAGTGATACGAGAAACAGAGTACAAATATGATCCAAATCCTGGTCAGATTCGATGGTTGAAACTTTACCTGCTGTGTGAGTTCATGGAGCACAGTATTTTATTTTACCTGCTGCTGCT